AGTTTGCCTATTCTAGAACAACAATGTTACATTCTGACGATTGACAGACAATGATATATGACAGATGAATGTAATGGCTCGTCGTTTGGTGAACGTGAATGAATTCGAATACATTATCAGAAATGATTTATTGAGAATGGTGTATCATTTAGCCATACAGAAATGATCTACATTCAAACCTTATGAAAGTTAGTATTCATCTCTTTTGAGTATGGTCGTTATATTCACAAACTTTAATGTTTCATTGGCAGGTTTTTAGGGCATTTGAAATTAACCTTTCTAAAACGAGAAACCATCATCATTAGTTCGATCTCCTTTTCTGAGAACTGACGACTCTAAGTCTGAAAATAGCACTTGAAGATTAAAGAGAGACACTTCTTTGTAGGTACATGTATAAGTGTAGAAGCTTTGCCCTCGGAAAGTACCTTATAATCTGAAAGGGTGATCATGGAGGATTTTGTCCACATCTTTAATGTTTATGTGTGTGAATTTTTAAATCGTATTTCTGATATCTGTAACACCGATTTGCCGAGTTGAAGTTTAGTCTTTTACAAGAGAAATGGAAGAAAATATATTTTCAAAGAATCGAATGTGACTTAGACTGAATGTTCACTACTACAAATGAATGATATCTGCAGAGCAATTATTTTGATAGAAAATGTATAATAGCCGGGGAATAAGCAAGGAAAGACAAGAGTATCTAGATAGTAGCCATGGACCACATGAATAATTGATCTTGTATCAATTGTACTTTTCTGTAAAAGTGATTTCCAGCAATTTTTTTCATAAGACGATAGCAACTACTTTTGGAAAATTGAACTAAGTAGATTTCAGTGAAATGTGTGAAATTTACAAGAACGTATAGCACAATCCGATCATATTTTCTATGGGAAATAAAATAGGGCATTGACATTACCCTTGGGTTGATTTTGTAGAGGTGTCGTGGACGAGTGGATATGTCACCGGACTGTGGATCACAAGGTTCGCGGTTCAAGTCCCACCGCGGCACTAATATCCTTTGGCAAGACATTGATCTACATTTGCCACTCTCCACACAGGGGTTAAAAATGGGTACCCGGTAAGATGCGAAAGCTAATGTGGTTAGATTAGCAAATGTGCGCTTGTAAAAAAAGACGCCTGGTTGGAATGCTCCCCAGGGAGTGGAGAATGTGCATACATTGTGTGCGGGTCAGCCTGAATCCTATGACCGGGGTAATAATATATATATCTGTAAAGCGCTTTGAGAGGGCCTTCGGTCCTGAAAAGCGCTATATATTCAGAAAGTAGTTGCAATCGTAGATGTCTCAAGCTTCTCAGAAGAAGAAGACAAAAAACAAGAAAAACGAGAAGAACAAGAACATAAGTAAACATTAAACTGTTGCACCTACGAGCCAGAGTGTAGGAGGAACACATTTCACAAAACATTCATCAAAATACAATGACGATACCTTCCCGTTTATTGTATATATTACCAGAACTGACGGAAGATTTAAATGTCTTTCTCATGAGGGGATACACGTAACACCAACGCAATGAATGTCAAATGCATTTTACCTGTATTGTAGGTCGCTTGATACGTCTACAGAATCTCTGCTTCGTACAGAGCGTTCACACATGGTAACATTTCCTGCGTTGGATAAACTCTACAGACATGATCGTAACATACCACTGCATGCATCCCCACCGCAAGCATCCCGCCCTTTACCCCCCCCCCCCCCCCCACGCTACGCCCATCTCTAGAGAAATGGTAGGCTTGACTACCACCAAAGATTTTAGAAAGTTTTTCCAGTGTTGTAGCAGTGATTAGTTAATGCATACAATAAACCTTTGATAGGCTACAATGGTTCAGACTTGGACATCGATTGGTATTGGCGCATCTCACTTGTCTAAAGCTTGTGCAAAGGAGCAATTGTTTAGATATAAGGCAATTTTGACTCTGACTGTAGAAAAGGAATTCAAAAAACTGAATGTATCATTTCATCCTTATATTTTTTGACCAGGAAACTCACAGAGTTTACGCCCTTCTGGCCCTCGGCATACAATGAAGGGCACTTAGAACATGAACGCAAAGACTTTCGAAAATTAACCTAAGGCAATTTCAATACCCTCGCCCATCACCTATAGAAATGTGCGAACACTACAATGACACATGACGAAATTCGAACAGGATTTCTATGGGATGTTCCATAGGGTTGACATTGTCCTTGAGGTTGATTTCTCGACAGTCTTTGAGACCGTGTTTTGTGGAAAGGGCGTTCAATCAAAAGTCCATATGTGAACTGGTTCGTGATTGAGAGCAAGCACATGCAGATCAAGGTGGAATCAATGCTTGGGCCCTTAGTCCCTCTTGTTTGTTAAGCTGTGTCAACCCCGACGGTCAGGTTTCACCCTGAAGTCGCCACGTTTATCCCCGCAGCCATCGGGCTAGGCCTGGTACGTGTGAAAGCATTCCCTAAGAGTCGAACGACACCTCACATAATGGGACCTGGCTAGCCTTCTTTCGAGGAGGAATGACTTCTTGACAAAGAATAGGTTAAGTCAAATTATTTCATGGCCCGGTTTCATGGGCTTGAAAATGTTTAGATTGAAATGTTATTTTATTGGATACCCCTCCCAGCCTCCCTCCTCCCCTTTGAGCCTGTAGATGGCCAAATCGTTAGACGTTCGTAAGACGTTCCAGATACCAACTGAGAGGAAATTTCAATTCCCTGTTGTCTTTCCAATTCTTGGATTACGTAATCTGTCATGATGATGTTGGCACATTTTCAAGAGGAGCGGAATACGGCTATTTAAATTGGGTTTTTTTTTCTTTGGAAAGTCTCTGCGATCGTGGTAGATCAGTAGATCATTTTTTGCAATATAACAGATTATATGAGATAATACACTTTCCTTTTGTCCGATATTCACAGGCGAGAACATACTCTTATAACCTCTTAGAGGACTGAAAAAGATGACAAAATAATCAAAATGACTGGACAAAAGCTAAGTATATTCATCGATACACATTAGTGCCGTCAACCTCTGTCTCAATTATGTTCTCACCTCAAATTTGCAGAAGAAACAAAATATATTCTTCTTACATTCTAAGATAAAATGAGATCTAAAAAAAATACGACGTCAAATCAAATGAATTGTAAATCATATTTTAATGATTATAATAAGCCTATGTTACCGCAAACTTACAATAGTGACGCTGAAAAGTTGGCGTTTTTTCAAAAGAATGGATCCCGACATCTGCATAAACGGGTATATTATGCTTGAATTCGATAGCATGCGATATGTTTTCGGTCATCTTTAGAACTAATGTTAATTTTTTCTTTCAGTTTTTGTTGTTGAATTAGTTTAATCTTTTCTTCAAATATGACAGAACGATTAAATATATTCGATGAAAAATCAGGTCCTCGAACGAAATTCGATTTAAGACATAATAAAAATGTCTCTAAGCGCTTTACAGATTTACTATTACCCCGGTCATTGGATTAAATACTTGCCCGCACACACTGTGTGCACAATCTCCAGTCCCTGGGAAGCATTCCAGCCAGGCGTTACTTGACGCTCAAAAACTGTTTGACCAACAATGACGATCGCATGCTATACGGAAAACATGATCAAATACATCCGATGGAAAAGCAGGTGCTCGAATCTAATCAAAACAGGTACTAACAGCTGCTACAAGCAATTACAAGGGTTTAATGCAAATGTTTTATGCAATTAATTAACTTCAATCTTATATCCTCTACATACAGAGGGGCATGGAATTCAATCCAAAGTAGTGGTTTGAACTTTGTAATCTTTCGAGAGTCGTTTATACTATTTTTTAGCATGGATGTCAACTCTTCATCTACGAAGTGATCTCTGAAATGACATCTCAGAGAGAGATTTATCACTTCTGTATTATGTAGAGATTAGTCTACGTGGTAGGACATAGGATTCAGTAGGTGAATCTTTTTGTTATGTGTACATTACTATAAGTTGTTTACTGGCTTCATTAACAAATGTCATTGCATATTATTAGAATATGTTAATGGAAATGTTTTAATGCAACTAATTAATTTCAATCCTATATCCTCTACATACATAGGGGCTTGGAATTCAATCCAAAGTAGTGGTTTGAACTTAGTAATCTTTGGAAAGTCGTTTCTATTATTTTTTAGCATGGATTTCAACTCTTCATCTACGAAGTGATCTCTGAAATGACATCTCAAAGAGAGATTTATCACTTCTGTATTATGTAGAGATTAGTCTACGTGGTAGGACATAGGATTCAATAGGTGAATCTCTTTTATATTGGTATACTACATCTATAAGTTGTTTACTGGCTTCATTAACAAATGTCATTGCATATTATTAGAATATGTTCGTATAAAGTGACAGGAAGCGTCCAAGAACGAACATTTATAGCAGGATCGTTTGGAATAGTGTGATAAAGAGGACAAGTGCACAAAGTGACATTCGATTTCCATATAAATCGCACATTTTAAATCCATTTGCATTTCAAACCTGGACTCACGCCAAAGAGGAGAAAAGTTTAAAGGTAAAGACCAGTTATGGTCGTGCGATTGCATTGTGAAAGAAACTTTGTGGAATCGATCAGAAAGGGTTGATCATCTAGCATCTAGCATCTGCAAGGTTCTGGAATCATCAAAATGATAAGAAATTTGGCCCATTCTTCGTAAAGTTACAAGCACTATACACAGAAAGATGTAAATGGGACTACCTTATATCTCTCACAGACCATGAGAGAAACAAATTTACCAAATATATGAATTAGTAGGCGGTTTCCCGGCAAATTTTTTATCATCATGTATTAGTCAAAACATATTCTTTCACATGATTGGTAATGAGAGCTTCCATTTCATTTTTTGAAATTGGGGCGTTTCCAATACTGGTCTTTACCTTTAAGTTCACATGTGTTCTTACAGATAAAGAAAAGGTGGAAGAGTACGGGTTCTTTCTTCTGTGTTATAGAAGCTGCAATCGGCTCCGGATTTCAAATTTAGCCCCTTGTTTTGGAGAAATCGTGAATATTTGACAGTTACACATAAACACGGACAAGGATTTCCAAGTGTGCTTCTAACCTTCCAGCTTATTTAACAAAGAAAATTTGAAAGTTAGTAGCATGAACGTAGTTTTAATCAAGATTGACAACTTTCCCACTCTTTTTAATTGCAGTTATGGCCTTATCAACGAGTACACGTTATGCAATACCAGCTCCTTCAACAGGTTGTGCAGGTAATAGTCTTTTTTTATATTTTACTTTTAGTCTTTAAACGTAATAATATCATAGATTGATAGGTCTCTCCCTCTCTCCCTCCATCTTTATTTATCTCCCCTCATCTCTCTTTCTATCTCTGTCTCGATTTATGATCTCTTTGATCTCGCCCTACCCCTTTCACTCTCTTTCTCTCTCTTTCTCTCTCTCTCTCTCTCTCTCTCTATCTATGCCTTACCATTCTGCCTCTTTCTCATAATTTTCTCAATGTCATTCATATATTTGTCTCGGTTCGTATCTCTCCTTTTTTTTTCTCAGTAGAATGTTTATTGTTCATGATTTTCTCATATCAAACTAAACAGACAACTGGAAAGCAGTTCATCTAACAGTCGCCTATCCGAACCTCACCACATTGACTATCATATCTGACGAGTTCCATGTTTCGCTGGTCGTCGAAAAGGATGAAGCTGATAACGTTGACATGCGTTTCTGCATGTGGGACAGCGAAAAGGTAGATTCGATAGAAACGTGAGTATCGATTTAAAAGACTTCGAGATGAAGAAACTAGAAATGGTTGAACACTTCCCCGATCTGATATTCGATGCACTATTCCTAAGCAAAACTGTATTTTCTTTCTAATTCCATGCAGTGAAGTCACAGTTTTCTAAGGTCAAGAAGATGCAGTTTCTACACCATTCTACCTGATGTACGATACTATGCACACGACGTAGAGCAGGATATTCGATTTAAATGGACTAAAACCCTTTTTTTGTGATTACTTATCTCATACAGTGGAGTCGCGGTAGCAGACGGTTTTGGTCAAGGAGATGCTCTTTCTTTTACCACCTTACCTGATGGACGATACTGTGTATACGGCGTGGGGCTAGCAGAAGCGAATATGGACAAAGGAAAATGGGAGTGGTCGCAGGGATCATGTCCGAAAGGCTTTGAGTCAGGTATGTTGCTAAAAGATTATGTTAAGGGCTGGTTCCACCTGATCAATAACTATGATGATATAGATCATCCAAAAGGGGGCGGATCCGAGATTTGCTAAAAAGGGGGCACGATCTGACAAGCAACAACAACAAAAGATAGGGGGAGAAACGGTTTCTTTTCTAACGCAATCCCATGACGAGTACCCTATCTCATATTTAAATGGGTAACAGGCAATTGCTAAAACATAGAGTACCGAAGTGTGCCATCATGCAATGTTGTGCTAAACAATGGTGTGGTGATCACATCAGCCCAAACACTTAATTTGCCCTGCTCCAGTCCGTTGCTTGAATGATATCGCGGTGAACCTCATGCGCAGGTGAGCGAATATGTCGTTAGCATTTCGATTCTCTATAGTTTGGCGTCATTGAACAATTATGGTAAAGCTATTTGAAGCGAATGAAAACATGGAAAATGGGAAATTTGAGAAGAACACATCAGTCACTCCGTAATCTTTTCTGACAACTTCATTAGAAAAGTCAACATTTACCAAGCTTTCGAGATTCAATCATGAAAAATGGGGATAGTAGAAAATGAAGAGAAATTTAGATCTTGATAATTCCATGTAAACATCTTTATCCATCATTCTTAAATAATCATATTTTATTTTTATTTTTTTCGTTTTCAGGATTTGTTATAAGAAAAATAGACGGTTTTTGTTAACAAAAGAGCATGGAAATAAGATTTATTCGGTGCTTAAATTCCGTAATCTCAAAATGTCAATATTAGGTGATAGGTAATCGGCTTTGATGGATGTTTCTTTGCCGAAAGATTTGTCAGTCTTTATCGATTGAAATACGGGCAAATATGGATGGAAACCCTGATTATGATCAACAGTGCATGGTCACAAGGAAAAGAGATGAAATGTCAATTCATCGTTACAGCTGGTCAATAACGGATTGAAGGTTTTAAAACGTGGGTAGCTATAACATTAATTATTCAATTGTTTATGTGATGGCAAAGCGTTTGATGATTACATGATTACTAAGTCAATGCGGAAGAATACACCAGTTACACCAGTGAGGCCGACAGCAGACCGAATTTTAAAAATTAAACAAATTAAACAATTAAAATTGGAATGAAAACGGCCTTAAAATTGATCAGTTTTGAGTTTGGCGGTGTGACTGAGCATTTTGAATATTTTGGGAAATAATTCCTGTACCCGGTTTAATCCTAAGTGCCCCTTCCTGCTGACAATTAGTGCCCCCCCCCCCCCCCAAAGTGAAACTGTCCCTTTTCATCTGATATTGGTTCTTATCATACCACTTCATTCATTAAAAAAAAACATGATATACATGTACAAACGAAGTGCCCCTTCCAAGTAAAACGCTTTAAAAAATAGCAGTTGTGTATATTTCACCATTGCAAAATAAAGGACCCTTTTTATTTCCTTAGTTATTTGATTGATAATTATGCTTTTGAAACGTGACAGGAGATTTAAAAAAAAAAAAAAAAAAAAAAGATCAGCGACTCCCACTGGTTAAAGATAAAGACCAGTTATGGTCATGCGATTACATTGTGAAAGAAACGTTGTGGAATCGATCAAAAGTATTGGTGTGTACTGCAAGGTTCTGGAATCATCAAAATGATAAGAAATTTGGCCCCGTCTTTGTAAAGTTACAAGCACTGTACACAAAAAGATGTATATGGGACTACGCACACGTGCACGACATGTGCGTGTATCTCTCACACACCAATAGATAAACTAACTTACCAAATATATCAATTAGTAGGCGGTTTCCCGGCAAAAATTTGATCATCATGTATTAGTCAAAACATACTCTTTCACATGATTGGTAATAAGAGCTTCCATTTCATTTTTTGAAATTGGGGCGTTTCCAATACTGGTCTTTACCTTTAAGTAAGGTCCAGTAGGACATAAAGGGCATGTAAGACGTGAGATTGTACTATCATTAGATATTCCGCAAACGTCTTTCGTCGCGATAAGCATGCCGAATGTGAAGCTGTGTTGTGACTGCAATGTGACTCAAAAGCCCCTAGGGCCTTCATCGACCTCATGTTGAAATTGATACCTGATCCAATCCCATGTGCGATGTAATTAGGCCAGGTATACTTACCCTAGCCCGTAGCCATTGTGACTTTCGAACAAAATATAGATCCAGGAATGTGTGCATCTTCATATTTTTAGGATAAATGTTCCCATGTCATGCCTCCCTTATGGACTTTACGTGTCTGTGCATTACAACGATATTGCAATTATAAGAACATGCTTGTCAAAATAGTATATTGATGTAATTTTAATTACCCTTGGAATTCAATTGGACTAAGTATCGAGCGTGTTGCATGCAAATTATATTGAAAATTAAATTGTTAACTTAAGTCTATTGATTTCGTACATTCCGCATGTGCAACAGCATATACAGGTATTTAATAGGGAAATTCCCCAAAAGATCATTTGAAATAATAAGGAGCTGTAAGTTGCACAAGTTCTGCTTTTCTTTCGTCCCTCGTTTTTTCATTACAATAAATCGATACATGATTTTGCCTCACGGGCAATGTAATAAACGCCAAGCGTGCCAAACATGGCGCTCTCTATTCCATAGTGTGCTAATTTCAAGAAATCTCCAACCATTATGACGTCACTGTATTGATGTGTGAAATCCCAATGGTTTACTTGAAATTGAAACAATCTCGCCTAGAGGTTGTAAATCATAGGTTATAAATCAGAAGTTGTAAATCAAACAGGAATAAAGAAACGGGCACGAAAGAATTTCATGATTTCTCATTCATCACTTAGAACATCGCGTTCGAATATAAATAATCCATAAATGAAGCCCGCTAATATAGATACATTTCATGATTTCTCATTCATAACTTATAACATCCCGTTCGGATATAAATAATCCATAAATTAAGCCTGCCAATGTAGATAAATTGCATGATTTCTCATTCATCACTTATAACATCCCGTTCGAATATAAATAATCCATAAATTAAGCCCGCTAATGTAGATAATAGGGAAGAGGGGCACGTGATCCCCCTCCCCCGCCCCTATTGGTTGAAAAGCAAAAACAGAATGACAAGAAAAAGGGCGGGTGGGAAAGGGGGAAAAGTGATATGACAAGTAAACGCTACCACTCCCTCCCGCACCCTACCCCTAATGAATGGTATCGGTCATTCGTATTTCACCAATCGAGTAAGTTCAGTTGAGATTAGGGAAAGTATTTATGAATTTTGAACAAGAAATAATTAGTTTTAGGATATCCTGACAGTAGGCCAACACAGTTTTATCCGAAAATTTCAGATAAAAAAGTTATGAGAAAGCGAATTTAGATTTGAAATATTTTCATGCGTGACTACGAATGTCCTTTTGCATTTTCATTCTTTGAAAATGAAAAAGTGTCATAATTTGATATCTAAATTTAAAAAATAACATCAAAATTGCCCTTAAAATAAAACCAAAAAGGGAAATGATTTTTTTTAAGATCATTTCCTAACTTGATCCTGAAATATTGCGTGTCAAATTTTATATTCGAGAAACCTGTCATTAACCGATTAAAGTAAGGGTTGATCTAACTTAAAATGGGGCGTTATGCATAAGTTATGCAAATAAGGTGCACAGTGTATACATTTTCAAAGCGAACTATCTTGCCTGATATACTTATGTGTGCGAACATGGTTTTCTGTGATAAATTTGCCATTTTTTCCTTTAATTTAACCCATTTGACCTATTCTCACCCTTAACGAAAAGAACCACTTTCGAGATTTCCGAGTTAGGCGCCGATGACTCGGGAGAAACACTCGACATAAAAAAAATCACTCTTAAACTTGAAACATATATGCACTATTCATCTTCAGGAAGCCATCCACAAGTCATATCTTTCTCGACACGCAATGCATCTTGTCTCTAATAATATTTATTCCCCATACATCTCGAGCTTGCAAACTGCATCCAAATGACTTTTAACGATCACAAAAAAACGAATTTAAAAAAAAAGAAAAAGCTGTTTCCCCAAAGATGTTTTCCCCAAAGATGAGATTCACGTGGCGTAATGCATTCCGCATTCAATTTCATGTATTGCTCTAGATTTTTTTTCGAGCTTTAGTTTGCAAATTTGTATCGTTTAGCTCAAATTTCTCCCTTTTTCCATCCATAATGGTAATCAGAGATTCCCTTGTGATGTGTTTAGAGTTTCATCTCGGGCATTGCTTTTTTTAGCCGAATTTCTTTCTTGGAATTCATGTGCCATAAATCCAATAATTTGTTATGAACGCATTTTAAGATTCTTCATATGGTAATTCAATAAAATGGGGAATTACACGATTGTCGCAAATATTTACATTTTCGCAATACCAATAATATTTTTGTATGTAGGCCCTAAGGCTTTTCCCATGGGTTACATTAGTGGTGATTTTTCCAGTTACCTTCGTTTGGTAAGAAGGTCATATTTTGACAAGCGTGAAGTCTACCGACATTCTCTCAGAAGTATAAAGTCTTTAAAAGTGCTCGTTTCCCATATTTTTTCTTCGTTTTTTGCCCCTGGGTTTGGAGCGTCAAAACCTGAGAAACATTCGATGTATCTAAAACAGTTTTCAGCTATCCCTTCCAATGATACATAATCATTTTTGTTTGTTTAATCTCTTCATTATTGCAGGTTTCTCCACATTCCCGTTTCGCACATCCTCCGCCCTCCCCGACAATTTCATCAACAATCTTGTGCCCATCCCGAGCCCGTTTTCGCTGTTCCGCAAAAACAACACCATGGTCCATTACTGTTGTACACAGAACGGTGACGTCAACATACCCATCGAACTGCCCTTCATCATTCCGTTTTTCCTGTTCCCGCTCAGATCGAAAGAGTGTCAGAGAGTTAGGGGGATGAAGCATCGGTTGGAGTACGTGATCTGGCCCTCGATGAAATACAATGGCGGAGTGCATCCTTACACCAATGACACGCATTTTGGAGAAAATACATTCTACTATTGCTATTATGAGCCTGATAGTAAGTTTTTAGCCTAGAAGGTGGAAGGTAGTGGCGAAGCTACGAGGAATAAGGGGGCATGAACCCCCCCCCCCCCCCCCCTCTCAATCCGGTGGCCTAGTTAATTCGTTTTTCTACTCCGGTACCGCCAATCCCTCCCCGATGCCAGTGCCCCCTTTAATAGCTCCGCCCAACGTTTCGCCACTGCTTGAAAGTTGTTGTCACCTTGATGAATTAAATTCTGTTCGTACTAAGTACATATAAAAAGGAAATTTATATAGCTAAACAAATTAATATCAACCTAACAAAATTAATCAACGTAATGGTAATTTAAGTAGTGAGTAAAGTAAACGAAAAGTTGAAAAAAAACGTTTGGTATAAAGCGTTGTTTCTTCTTATTTTCTTCAACTAAGTTTATTTTGTATATGTACATCTAAATGATTTTGTGAGTACTCTGTTTTAAAGAGTATGAAATAGTCAAGTAGTTGCCTTGTGTTTGTGAATGTATGGAGGCATTTTTTTTCATAGGTTTTTATTCATTTCTCTCGTAAAGAAAAAATGTACATAATTTATAACATTGTATACAAACTAACAAAATAATTTTAACATAGGTCTTAATAAACTTAAAAATAAACTTTTACAACTACATACAAGGTTCCAACTAAAGTTACACATTTACAGATGAAAAATATTCACATAAACAAAATTATATTTTCACCAAAAAACAAAATCGCAAATAAAGTTTCTACTATTTTCTCGACCAGTTTTATTATAAATCTAAAATGATTTCTTTTCCACAATATTTTGTTTTCCTCTTAAATTTCCTTTAGAGACGAAAAATATATCTATATAAAAAGAGAAAGAGCTAGAAAACACCTACTACCCCCGCCCCACACAACATTTAAACACATACCAAGTACAACAGTATACAAAAAACACACCAACATAGAACGAACAAACAAATGAAAAAGAAAAAGAAAAGAAGAGAGGAAAAAAAGAAGAAAAAGCAAAGGTAGAGAAGAGAGGAGGGTCTGGAAGTTATATATTGAGAAAATTAAAAACAGTAAACATTTATTCTAAGCTTCCCAAGGCTTCCCATTTCCTTAAATGAATTGAAAGTGTGTCTCTTTCCAATGAAAGTTTTTTCTCTTCATTTCTATTTTCCAATAATCTATATTCTATTTCTTTTGCTTTTGGAGGGACAGGGTTTCCCTTCTCTCTACTGTGGAAAATCATATATTTAATCAAAATCAAAAGGTATGCTAGCGATTGAGTATCGGTGAGGATTTATTATTTTAAAACAGCTTAAAAGAAGCAGAAAAATAGCAGCTCAACCCACCAAAATCGATTTCGGTAATAATAATTGCATGGCCCTCAGGAATTCCGCGAAGCGTGATCGAAATCCACTAACTCCATTTTAGACACCTTTTCCAGGGAGTGTTTAGCCCCCAACGACCGCAATTATTATTATAGTTATTGTTATTATTGTTAGGCCTATTGTTGTTGCTTTAGTTAGGCTATTATTGATCAACACAACTTCTACCATTTGTCATATTTTTACTAGCGATATAAATTACTGTTATTTAGAAAGGAGAATGGCATTGTATGCATTCAAAAACAAATCTGAAGTCGTAAACCCGTAGATGCCTTCATTTCATTAAATTATTAAAGCATTTATTATGCCTCTCTTGCTCATATTCGTTTCCATGGAGACCGAATTTTATTCGAGCAAATAAGATGGAAGGCCTTTTCATCTTTCCAAGCCGCTGAATAAAGGTCATTATATAAATTATAAAATTATGGGTGGGACGCCAGTATAAGTTGTCATGTGCCTTATTTCTTCCTCGGCTATATTCAATGATAAAGCCCTGCGAACGGGGCCAGGCAGGCAATATTTTCATTTTGCGGTGATTGGGGGCGAAACATTCCCTGGAAAATCTGTCTAAAATTGAATTAGTGACTTTCGATCAAGAAGTTTATCAAGGAATATATCCCTTTAGAATTTTAGATTGATCACTCGTTATAGGAGATTTCTCTTTCTATTCCTTTCTCCTTCTTTCTCTCTCTCTCTCTTTCTCTCCTCCCCCTCCCCTCTATCGATACCCCGTGGCCGAGAGAGAGAGAGAGAGAGAGAGAGAGAGAGAGAGGTACTAGGGTAACTGGTTAGAATATTGTCGTCGTGGTATTTAAGTCACGCATGTCACTTAAGCAAGGCATTTAATAAGTACATTATAAAGCGATGGGCAAATCTTCATTATTGTCATCATCATCAAGCATTATGTCACGTGATTACCTTTTCTTTTGCAGCCCTTGCAATGGAACAAAATATCGTCATAGCAACGTACACAGTGATGATAGGAACTCCAACTGTCACCTTCATCGTGCTATGTGCGTGCCGATTTACTCACAGAAAACTCCGAAAAAGGTACGATTTTTTTTTTAGAACGTGTAGTATCAACAGTCTGAAAATGTCAGAGGCTAGAATCAACAAGAATATTAGCTCATTGTGTCGTAACTAAGGAATTCTCAACATTTCTTTAAATTTCTCCAGAACAATATTTGACACAATATATTTGATGCCGATGATATTCAAATAGTCTTCGTTATCAGCCCATCAAGCAAGTGTATAAGCTCACACCTTAAAAAAAAACACCAAAGATTTGTTTTCGGAAAAATCTCAGTTATTCTTGTTGTGTTCCCTTCATTATTTTTGATGCTGTAGCTTTGATGATGATAACATTTCAACTTCTTCTTTTCCAAAACGTGCGTTCCGTTCCGCTTACCTGCAGAATACAACAAACTGTTCTTGTGATTTCTTATGTAAGACCAAAAACACAGGCACAGACTTGATTGTGTAAATTCTTATTCTCATTTAAAGATACTATGTCCCTTTTGTAGCCAGCATTAAATTCTGTAGAACTTTGCAGGAATTATGAATATGTCATGTATGTCCTATCTGTGAAATTTAAATGTTAGCAAATTATGCAAGGAAACCCATTTACTTGCTAGACTTCACTGTCAGACACTATTGAGTGACTGACTGGCTTTTTTTTCATCTTTGGTAATGACATACATCAAATGAGCTGTAAAGGGTACATGAGCATTTGTCTACATCAATAACCCACTTCTGGTAATGGCCAAAATTAAGCTAATTGAATCTTTGCGCAGCATAAAACGTACGACCATTCGGTACAATGGCAGGGCTCGAATTACCCACCGGCAATCGGCAATTTGCCGCCATGCCCCTCTCACTGGCCGGAATGCCCTTTTCAAAATCAAACCGTTTACGGCCACAATATTTTAATCCACAAAAGTTTTGCCGACATTATAGTCATCGTAAGCCAACCCGACTTGTAATGTTCAAAAAGGTTTTGTTGCCCATACGGAGCTCTAAAAACAATGATAGTCGGCAAGGTTTTGTTGCCTCTCCGGAGCTCTAAAAACAATGATAGTCGGCAAGGTTTTGTTGCCCCTCCGGAGCTCTAAAAACAATAATTACCGGAAGGTTTTGTTGCCCCTCCGGAGCTCTAAAAACAATGATAGTCGGCAAGGTTTTGTTGCCCCTCTGTAGCTCTAAAAACAATAATAGTCGCAAGGTTTTGTTGCCCCTCCGGAGCTCTAAAAACAATATTTATCGGCAAGGTTTTGTTGCCCCTCCGGAGCTCTAAAAACAATAATTACCGGAAGGTTTTGTTGCCCCTCCGGAGCTCTAAAAACAATGATAGTCGGCAAAGTTTTGTTGCCCCTCCGAGGCTCTAAAAACAATCATTATCGAAAGGTTATGTTGCCCCTCCGGAGCTCTAAAACAATGATAGTCGGCAAGGTTTTGTTGCCCCTCCGGAGCTCTAAAAACAATGATAGTCGGCAAGGTTTTGTTGCCCCTCCGAGGCTCTAAAAACAATAATTATCGGAAGGTTTTGTTGCCCCTCCGGAGCTCTAAAAACAATCATTATCGAAAGGTTATGTTGCCCCTCCGGAGCTCTAAAACAATGATAGTCGGCAAGGTTTTGTTGCCCCTCCGGAGCTCTAAAAACAATGATAGTCGGCAAGGTTTTGTTGCCCCTCCGAGGCTCTAAAAACAATAATTATCGGAAGGTTTTGTTGCCCCTCCGGAGCTCTAAAAACAATGATAGTCGGCAAGGTTTTGTTGCCCCTCTGTAGCTCTAAAAACAATAATAGTCGCAAGGTTTTGTTGCCCCTCCGGAGCTCTAAAAACAATATTTATCGGCAAGGTTTTGTTGCCCCTCCGGAGCTCTAAAAACAATGATAGTCGGCAAGGTTTTGTTGCCCCTCCGAGGCTCTAAAAACAATAATTATCGGAAGGTTTTGTTGCCCCTCCTGAGCTCTAAAAACAATAATAACCGGAAGGTTTTGTTGCCCCTCCGGAGCTCTAAAAACAATGATAGTCGGCAAAGTTTTGTTGCCCCTCCGAGGCTCTAAAAACAATTATTATCGAAAGGTTATGTTGCCCCTCCGGAGCTCTAAAACAATGATAGTCGGCAAGGTTTTGTTGCCCCTCCGGAGCTCTAAAAACAATGATAGTCGGCAAGGTTTTGTTGCCCCTCCGAGGCTCTAAAAACAATAATTATCGGAAGGTTTTGTTGCCCCTCCGGAGCTCTAAAAACAATGATAGTCGGCAAGGTTTTGTTGCCCCGCTGTAGCTCTAAAAACAATAATAGTCGCAAGGTTTTGTTGCCCCTCCGGAGCTCTAAAAACAATATTTATCGGCAAGGTTTTGTTGCCCCTCCGGAGCTCTAAAAACAATGATAGTCGGCAAGGTTTTGTTGCCCCTCCGAGGCTCTAAAAACAATAATTATCGGAAGGTTTTGTTGCCCCTCCTGAGCTCTAAAAACAATAATTACCGGAAGGTTTTGTTGTCCCTCCGGAGCTCTAAAAACAATGATAGTCGGCAAGGTTTTGTTGCCCCTCCGAGGCTCTAAAAACAATAATTATCGGAAGGTTTTGTTGCCCCTCCGGAGCTCTAAAAACAATAATTACCGGAAGGTTTTGTTGCCCCTCCGGAGCTCTAAAAACAATGATAGTCGGCAAGGTTTTGTTGCCCCTCCGAGGCTCTAAAAACAATAATTATCGGAAAGTTTTGTTGCCCCTCCGGAGCTCTAAAAACAATAATTACCGGAAGGTTTCGTTGCCCCTCCGGAGCTCTAAAAACAATGATAAGTCGGCAAGGTTTTGTTGCCCCTCCGAGGCTCTAGAAACAATAATTATCGGAAAGTTTTGTTGCCCCTCCGGAGCTCTAAAAAACAATAATTACCGGAAGGTTTTGTAGCCCCTCCGGAGCTCTAAAAACAATGATAGTCGGCAAGGTTTTGTTGCCCCTCAGTTGCTCTAAAAACAATAATTATCGGAAGGTTTTGTTGCCCCTCCGGAGCTTTAAAAACAATAATTACCGGAAGGTTTTGTTGCCCCTACGGAGCTCTAAAAACAATTATAGTCGGCAAGGTTTTGTTGCCCCTCCGGAGCTCTAAAAACAATAATTACCGGAAGGTTTCGTTGCCCCTCCGGAGCTCTAAAAACAATAATAGTCGGCAAGGTTTTGTTGCCCCTCCGGAGCTCTAAAAACAATATTTATCGGCAAGGTTTTGTTGCCCCTCCGAGGCTCTAAAAACAATAATTATCGGAAGGTTTTGTTGCCCCTCCGGAGCTCTAAAAACAATAATTATCGGCAAGGTTTAGTTGCCCCTACGGACCTCTAAAAACAATAATAATCGGAAGGTTTTGTTGCCCCTCCGGAGCTCTAAAAACAATAATTACCGGAAGGTTTTGTTGCCCCTCCGGAGCTCTAAAAACAATAATAGTCGGCAAGCTTTTGTTGCACCTCCGGAGCTCTAAAAACAATATTTATCGGCAAGGTTTTGTTGCCCCTCCGGAGCTCTAAAAACAATAATTACCGGAAGGTTTTGTTGCCCCTAAGGAGATCTAAAACAATGATAATCGGCAAGACTTCGTTGCCCCTACGGAGATCTAAAACAATAATTATTGGCGAGACTTAATTTCCACTATGGAACTCCTAAATTAATTGGCGGGACTTAATTGCCGATACGGAGATATGAAAGAATGTCTTCATCCAAATGACTGAAACGTTTGGCACAAAAACCGTAATGACTCAGGCTTAGTTTTTCAATCCATCCTTTTTATTTGAACCAATCAATATCGGGAAGTTTTGTTTACCCATCGTTGGTTCAACATCTTTACTTCGCGTTGTGACCTTTTTTGGTGCGTTTACACAGTTTTTAATCAGTGAAAAACTTGGATTTTTCTCGGGAGGAGGGTCTGGAATTAAATCAGAAAAGGATTAGGAGTCGAGATAATGGTACAAAGAATCGTCTTCTTTCCCATACATTTTAATTAAAACGTCATAGCTTCCGCCCATCGCGCGGGAGGGGTGTGAATTGAGTTCAGAAAAGGATAATACCGGTAGTCGAGATCGAGACGAATCGTCTTCTTTCCCTAATAATTTATTAAAAGCGTCTAAGCTTCCGCGCTTCCCTTGGAATTCAGAAAAGGATAAAGACTCAAGAACGGTACAACGAATCATCTTCTTTCTCTAATAATTCAATGAAACGTCAAAGGGGGAAACTCCCCCCTTCCAGCTCCCCCCCCCCCATTTTTTTTTTTTGAAAAGCATTTTAAAGAGAAATAGAAAGAAAGAGAGCAAGAAAGAAAAAATAGTTAACTACCAGTTTCTCAACAAAATGAGGTATCAAAAATTGCTCATCTGATCGTAATTAAACGCCTAAAACCCCTGAGCTTCCGTGGGCTCTGCCCCCGGGACCCAACCAAGGGCCCTTTGGCAGGCCTCTTGATACTCATCTGACTGCAATTTAGTGCCTAAAACCCTTGATCTTCTGGGGGCTCCGCCCGCTGAACCTCACGCCAATCAGTGTCCTGCCAGTGTCACAAATAAAGTATAAAAACATGTTCATCTGACCGTAATCAAATGCTTAAACCCCTGAGCTTCCGGGGGCTCTGCCCCCTGGACCCCACTGGATGCTAATCTGACGGTAATGTAATGCTTTAAACCCATGGGCTTCTGGGGGCTCCGCCCGCTGGACCTCACGCCAATCACCGTCCTGCCAGTGTCACAAATAAGGTATAAAAATATGTTCATCTGACCGTACTCAAATGCCTGAAACCCCTGAAATTCAGGGGTTTCCGCACCCTCGACTCCACCAGGGGCCCTGAGGCGGGCCCCTGAATGCTTATCTGACCGTAATTTGCCTTCAACCCACGAGTTTCCGGGGGCGAACAAGGTATCAAAAGATGTTCATCTGACCGCAGGCACGTAGCCGGGGGGGGGGGGGGGGGGCAGTGGGGGCGCCCCCCTAAAAAAAGCCAAAAAAAGAGAGGAGAGAAAAGGAAGAGGACGTATGAAGAAAAAGGAGCAGACAAAAAACATTTTTGAAA